CCCGACTGCTTAACGATCTAAGGCAGACTGGATCAGCTTCGGAGTACTTCTCCGCCTTTCAACAACATGTGGCGATACTCAAGTGGTCTGATGACGGAAACCTGGTTGACCGAGCCAAGAAAGGGTTGAAACCACACCTCTGTCACAAAGTGACAAGACAGTTTGGTTAGAGTTGGATGGGTTGGGTATTTAACCAGCGACCGACGGTTACGATTAACCGCCGGTTAATAGGCCTTTTAGCGCAGTGGTTTAGACCGCTGTGTCTGAAGGGCACTGTTGAATCGTCCCAATGCTGGTTAGTTGGTCTCGTGACAGATTAACCGGCGGTTACGGGTAGGATCCTGGGTTCGACTCCCAGGGTGGGCTGGGTCGTTCTCAGTCCCTACTTGGAAAACCTCCCTCTTGGAGAAAGTTTTCGGCCTATCGTGCCCATCCCTGTTGGGGCCCCAGATGGGGCTGAAAGGGAAGGCATAATGTCACGAAGTGACAAGACAGTTTGGTTAGAGTTGGATGGGTTGGGTATTTAACCAGCGACCGACGGTTACGATTAACCGCCGGTTAATAGGCCTTTTAGCGCAGTGGTTTAGACCGCTGTCTCTGAAGGGCACTGTTGAATCTGCCAATGCTGGTTAGTTGGTCTCGTGACAACCTCCTAGATGAAATTACTAGACATGGTAAATCTTTTGGGACTGTCAAGGAGTTATTGGAGTTTGTTATTCCCATGGACAACAGGTTGTGGAGAAGGAAAGTGGAGAAGGATGCGGAGAAGAAGAGGGAGACGGGGGTAAAGGAAGTGTTAGTGGTGGATAGCCAGAGGGTGGAGAGGAAAGAGGAGAAAAGAGGGGAAGGGAGGCAAACTTCGGCGCAGTCTGCGGTGCAAGCGACTATTACGTCGACGCAGGTCAAGAGCATTCCATCAAATGCCGACGAACTTTGCCGACAATGGCCCAGGCCACCTCCCGAGCTGAGGGAGACAAGGAAGAAGGAAGGGAAGTGTACTGAGTGCGGGGAGAGGGGACATTGGTTGAAGGATTGCCCGGTGAGGGCAGCGAAGGTAAAGGTCGGATGGTTGCCTCCGTGGGGGGAGAAGTTCGGCGAACGTGGTGGAGGATCGGGGGGTAACGCAGTACCTCTGGGACAGAGGAGGACCTTGAACGCAGTTGGAGGAGATGGAGAGATGGAAGAGGACCAGGGAAAAGAAGAGGACCTGTCGCAGTAGGCGAGGCTCGGCGGGTCCGCCATATTCTCTCGGCCACCATTCCCAAACCTATAAAAGAGACACAGCTGATGGAGCCAGAGGATTGTGCATACAAAAATACACCACTCAGTACCCCCTGTTCATGCAATGTCGATAATCATCTACTCATCTCTTCCACTTCTAGAGATCAACCTAAATCGGACATTTTTATTAATGGAATTAAGCTAACTACGCTCTGGGACACTGGGGCTACTTGTTCATATATAAGCCCTAGGGCAGCGGCGAAGATAGGTGTAGGAAGGAGACGATACCAGGTGAGCGTACCCTTTCACATGTTTGATGGCTCGGTTAGTGTCGCTGGACCCATCACCGAGTTTGTCGAAGTTGGTTTTAGTTTGACGAAGGACGCCGAAGTGCGATCTGTTCGTCTAGATGTAACAACGCTCTGCGATGCAGATGTTGTGATAGGGTGGGACTGGATGAGGAAGGAAGGGGTTGTTCTAGACGGAAGAGACAACTCGGTGAAGTTCCCCATCCCAACCCCACCGAGTGCGGCGAAGTTAGCAGCCATAGGGCTGCCAACTCCGACGGACGCGATAGATCTCCGAGACAAAGATGACCAGGATGAACTGAGTCCGGAGGAACAGGAGGAATTGTATCAGGTGGTTCCTGAACAATATCACCCGTTCATTGATGTGTTTAACCCGAGGAAGGGAGGTGAAGAATTACCTCCCTCAAGGGAATATGATCTGGAATTTGACCTTAAGGAGGGGGCGAACCTGAAGGTTGCTCCACTCTACTCACTCGGAGAAGATCAGAGAAGTGCGCTGAGAGACATCCTAGATCGCGAAACATCGGCCGGAAGAATTCGACCCAGTAATTCGCCCTACGGATCACCGATGTTCTTGGTACCGAAGAAAGCAAGGGGTCAATGGCGAATGGTCATTGATTACCGAAACTTAAACGAGGCAACCATACCCGACGCCTATCCACTGCCTCTGATCGGCCAGATAACCGAAGAGCTGGGAAAAGCGAGGTATTTCAGCAAGTTAGATCTGATTGGAGCCTATCAACTCCTACGAGTAAAGGAAGGACACGAGCACTTGACGGCGTTCAGGACTCAGTACGGTATGTTTGAGTCTCTTGTTGTTCGAGATGGTCTGCGAAATGCTCCTGCTGTACTCCAGCATTTTCTGAATGAAAGCTTCCGAGAACTGTTGGGGAAAGGAGTAGTTGTCTACATAGATGATATACTCATCTATGGTCAAACGTTGGAAGAATTGAGAGGAACTACGGCGAAGGTGTTCGAAGTTCTTCGAAGGTCGAATCTGTTCGTCAAGGCTAGTAAGTGCGAGTTTGAAAGAGATTCGGTAGTCTTCTTGGGTTTTGTGGTCTCACGGGAGGGAATTTCTAGTAATCCGGAGTACATCGACGCTGTTGTGTCTTTTCCCCGCCCCAAGAACCTAAGAGAGAGCAGAGGATTTATGGGAGTCGTTAGTTATTATCGGCACTTTGTCCCCAACTTCTCCAGGATTGCTAAACCGATCAATGATCTCACAAGGAAGGATGTACCGTTTGTCTGGGGAATGGAGCAGGAGAGAGCTTTTAAAGAATTGAAGGATAGCTGCATGTTGCCTTGGTTGGAGTATTGACTAAATGCTGATGATCACATTACTACAGACAGATGCGTCGTTCTTCGGGTGGGGCTTCATAATATCGCAGGTGAACGAGTTAGGACAAGAACATCCGGTAGCTATCGAGTCAGGAGCGTTTCAAGCGGCGCAGTTAAATTATACGGTAGGTGAGAAGGAACTACTAGCTATCGTTGAGGCTTTTAGAAGAAGGAGACACTTACTATTACAGGTAGAGACTACAGTTCTCACGGACCACTTGAACTTGACATACTGGATGGAACCGAAGCAGTTAAGCCCGAGGCAGGGCAGGTGGGTCGAAGAGCTTTCTAACTTTAGGTTTAAGATGGTGTATCGACCTGGGAAACAAGCTACGCTGCCGGACGGGTTATCGAGAAGAGCAGACTACCACTCTGGAAAGGGAAGTACTATAGTGCAAGAGAGCAACCTTATTCAAGGGTTGCCGAAGTTCGACGAACTCGACAGCACTAACTCTGGGTTACAACACCTACTTCGTGCTTTGCAAGGGACAAAGGAAGTAAGAGAGAATGACCTTATTGATCCCATGGATCTGATTGTTGGGATACAGGGAGATGAAGAAGTGGAGGAGGTTAGAAAGGAGCTACTAGGGGTCATCTGCGCTGAGTGCTCTCATACAACGTGTCACGATAATGTACAGGAACCAGCGTCAATAACTGAACTACGGCGCAGTTCACGGTCCCCCTTAATACTTCAGGGAGGATGGAACTCAAGGGGTTTCCTCACGTTCGACGATCACACTTATGTGCCGAACTACGCCAATGCTCGACTAAAGATCATGAAGATGCGACACGATTCAGCCCTAGCTGGTCACCCAGGCTCAGCAAAGACCCTCGAGCTTGTCCTGAGGAATTACGTTTGGGTTGGAGTAAGGAGGCATGTCGAAGACTATATCGCTGGCTGTGCGGTATGTCAGAGAGCAAAGACTAACAGACAGAAACCCCATGGAGAACTTAAACAATTGCAAGTGGCTACTAAACCCTGGTCAAGCATCTCGATGGATTTCATCAAAGAGCTTCCGAATTCCCATGGATATAATTCCATCCTGGTAGTGGTGGACCGATTGACCAAATGGGCCATTTTTATCCCAACCACGACGAAGTTAACCGCAGCTGGACTATCTGAGCTGATAATGGACTACGTGGTGGCCCAGCATGGGTTACCAGAGAGTATAGTATCGGACAGAGGATCGAAGTTTACTTTGAAGTTTTGGAAGAACTTGACCGATAGTCTCGGCATAAGACTACATCTTTCTACCGCGTATCATCCACAGACTGATGGACAGACCGAACGAACCAACCAGTCCCTGGAATTATACCTTCGAATCTTCACTTCCTACCAGCAGAACGACTGGTCGAAGCTGCTTGCTCGAGCTAGCTTTGCTTACAACAACACCCATCATTCCGCAATAAACAAGACCCCATTCTATGCGAACTATGGGTACCACCCTCGATGGGCAGAAGAGATTAAGGCTAGTGAAGTCAAAGTACCTGCTGCTACAATAGCAGTAAAAGACCTAACCGAAATACATAAGGAATGTATTGAGGGGATTGAGAAAGCTAATGAGAAGTACGCCGAAGGATACAATAGGAAACATCGAACTACACCGGACTTTGTGGAAGGTGACCTAGTGATGCTGTCGTTAGAGAACATCAAGACTAAAAGACCAATGAAGAAGTTAGATGTGAAGCAAAGTGGGCCGTACAAGGTAGTACGGTAAGTAGGTTCTCATGCTTGTAAATTGGAATTACCAGGAACGATGGCAGGTATCCATGATGTATTCCATGTTTCATTGCTTCGCCCCTATCATCCTCCAGTATTCCCTGGTCAGCAAGCTGAACCACCTGGCCCAGTAGAGGTAGATAACGTAGGAGAATCGTGGGAAGTAAAGGACATTGTGGACTCTAGAGTAAATAAGAGGTCAGGAAAGTTAGAGTACCTAGTAGAGTGGTTAGGTTACGAAGGAACAGACGATTCGGTATCATGGGAACCGGTAGAGAACGTCGATGGAGCTGATGACATATTGGCGAAGTTCCACGAACTTCATCCTACTAAGCCGAAGGAAGGGCGACTACGAAGGGCTAGGAGGTAGAACGTACTGCATACAACATAGGATTACAGCTACGTACCGCTCACTTGTCCTTACCCTTACCCTTTCCTTTTCCTTTCTCCTTCGCTCTACTCGGTCCCGCGGGATTGGTGTGGAGAGTACCGATGGCCGAAGGGAGATCGAGACTGTCAGGGGGGAAGGCAGACGAGAGAGAAGCATTCCATGCCCGATTCATAGCCCCAAAGAAATCACCGAAGTCCTGGACATCCCGAGCAGCTTGCATGCTCGGAGTCCTCCACAAGGAACGTATGGTCCTAAGACACTCGAAAGGGAGACTGAAGAGATCGAGAGCAGTCTGAGCAGAAGCAGGGACACGAGAACTACTCCGGGGGCCTAACCAGCCGATGGACGGTGGTGGCTTGTACGCCATGGGAGTAACGAGGAAGGGGGTGTCGTAAAGTCTTCGGCGAACATCGGCTATCTCAGTAAGGCTTCGGTGAGAGACGTCCGCTAACCTCGTCCTTGCTTCCTCGCTCAGGTTCCCACCGTTGACTACATCTACTAACGCCGCAGTAAGGTTATTCAAGGCGTTGGCTTGACGAGTGGAGAAGTCGAGCAAGAGAGATGTATCACGTCGAGCGACGTCAAGCTGAGTGGTGAGGCCAAGAACGAGAGAACGATACGTAGCAAATTCCTTTTCATCCTCCGGGATACGAGGGTCCAGAGAGATGCGAGGGTGGACGAAGGACAACCGAGGAACAGAGGGCCCAGCACGCTGAGTAGCTTCATCTTCCACATCACCACCTTCAAAGACGACCTCTTTCTCCATCCTTTTCCCTTTTGATTTCTTTAAAGAAGACTTTGGAGTCTTCTTGGAAGCGGGGGACGCGGTGACAGGGGGGGCCACTGGGGTGGCCGGAGGAGCAGAAGGACGGCGACTTCGGGTGCCGTGGGCCGGAGGAGAGGCCACCACGGGAGAGGACGGACGAGGGGCCGAAGGACGACGGGAGGACGAAGGAGGAGCAGCGGGGAGACGTGACGGGCCGGCCGCAGGAGCGAAGGGCGACGGCGACGGAGGTGATGGGCGGGAGTCCGGCGAAGTGCGGCGAATCGACCGGAGAGACGAAGGTGGTACCCGCGAACGGGGGACAGACGCTGGAGTCTGGGGAGGGGGGAAAGGCGAAGAGTCGGAGGGACGGGGCGGGATGTCCCGGGCAGAGGAAACGGGACAGAAGGAGCAGGGGCCAGATGTGCATCAAGCACAACGGAGGGCCTTGTTGTGTGGCCTGACTGCCTTGAGGCAGGGCCAGTTTGGACGATTATACGTGATAATCTCACGTCTACTAATTAGCAGGAGTAACTTCGGCGTAGTACGAATAGGTGGACTCACCGACAACGATCACACGCTTCGTCAACACCAACCGCGACCCAACGTCCAGGCTCGGACTTCATCTTCTCCCACAAGTACTCTTCTTCCCGCAATGATCTCTTCACCCGTTTGGGCGAAGGCTCCCCTCTGGGAGAAGGGGGGGGAGCAACGACGGGGGCGGCGGCGGCAGGGCGGGCGGCGGCAGCAGCGGCGATGGCGTTGGCGGGGGGGAGAACCCCGGAAGAGGAGGAAGAGGAAGAAGAAGAGGAAGAGGAAGAGGAAGAAGAGGAAGAAGAGGAAGAAGAGGAGAGGGAACGGCGTCGTTTCTGGCCCACGATTTGAGCAGGGGGGGGGGACAGGAACGGCTGCGAGTTAGCAATGTCTTGGAGAGCTAAAGAACAGATAAACAAGGCCAAGTTCGGCAAAGGTGTGAGAGGGTGGACGAAGGACTCACGCTCAGGACTATCTACGTCGTTGTCCTCTACATTAATCACCTCCACATCATCATCCGGGTATTCTTCTAACTCGCTTTCACCCTCACTATCAATCCTACCCTCCCGATCATCATCATCCTCACTTTCTTTGGTGTCGGGTCGATCACTCGACTCCGAGCCCCCACTGAGCGACTCCTGGTCGGAGGAGGACAGAGACTCACCAGGACGAAAGGCGGGCGTCCTACGGCGAGGGGTGGCGGCAGGAGGAGGCCCTCCGGGAGAACCAGTTACGCGGACGGGAGAACCAGACACGGGGGAGTGAGAACCAGCGGGAGGAGAGGCGGAGCGAGGAGGCGAGGCAGCGCCGGACGGCTCCCCCAGAGAGAGAGTGCCGAGGCCAAGGGAGGAGACTTGGCGAGATCTGTCGCCAAAAGAAACTAAATATCAGCCAAGTTCGGCGAGGTGAGGTGAGTATCGATGAAAACTCACGAGCAGATGACACCATACCACCAAAATTCCTCATGGCGGCGAAAGGGCTGGGAGTGGGAGTAGAGGGGGCCATGACGTTAAGATATTTAAAAGAGAAATAAAACTCGAGGCGATTATTCAAGGTAACAAATCTGTTTTTCTAGGTAAGAGAGATAGAAAGTTTTGAAAGCAGATGGGGAAAAGAGAGAAGCTCGACGAACTGCTCAGTATTTAGGATAATCAAACCTACCCCCTCGTTGTCAACATGCAGCAAACTTCTCGTTTCATCAACAAAAGGCAACGCAGGGACGATCAAAATTCCCACGCTATTGTGTCTCATCTCAATATAAGCGAGGGTTACTTCGACAAAAAACGGTGTTGTTCGGCTGCCATCCGGGAAGCGTGTCTCACCTACAAAAGACACAGGGCTTCTTACGGCAAACCTCGACGAAGTTAGGGGAGTCTCATTGTCGGGTTTTGGAGTGAAAGGAGGCTCAACTACGAAGTGCGGCGCAAAGAGCAGAAGGGCGAAGGATGGTTATGGGAGGGAGAGAATGGGGGTACTACGCTGCTAAGTTTTCTTGCCACAGTAGAGGTGAAATTGCTCACGAGGACGTTCACGGCTAAAGAAGGGGGCGACTGTCACGAACTACGTCGTGACACCTCGATTATTCCACCAACAATGACCCTCCTTTGACCATCAAAACCCCCATCACGCCTTAACCTCTTTACTCTACGCGCAACTCAGGACTTCTGAGACCAAGTACGAAGTTAGACGGAGTTAGGCTAAGTAGGGACAATGGGAGCAGAAGTACGGCGAAGTTAGACGGAGTTAGGCTAGGTAGGGACAATGGGAGCAGAAGTGCGGCGATGTTAGGCGGAGTTAGTCGAAGGAGGAAGAGGATGACCGGGGACTCGGGGAAGTTGGACGAAGTGCGTTGAAGTACGTCAAAGCGCGAGAGGGTTGGATGAACGTCTAGGAGGAATAGATAATATTAGCTGAGAAGATCGCTGAAGTTCTTCAGCGATCCTTGATTGTTGTCAGTAGTGAAAGATAGATAGAGATAGCTATAAACAAATCGAGATACATCGCCATCAGTAGAACAAAACCCCAGTTAGAGTAACTACGCCGAAGTACGCCGTACTTACACTCCTTTCGACGTCTGCGCCCTCCCGGATTGGGTGAGACATCGACTTAGAAGCGTCAAGTTAGCCGAGGTTCGTCGACCGTCGGTCTGTTAGAAGGTAGTTGTTCGACGGCCGTGACAAATAGTAAGTGTCTCCTTCTCCTGAAACCCTCCACTACAGCAAGGAACTCTTTCTCTCCTACCATATAATTCAGCTGAGCCGTATTGAAGGCGCCAGACTCAATAGCTACTGGATGTTCTTGACCAGCTGTATTGACCTGCGAAATTATGAAACCCCAACCGAAGAACGAGGCATCTGTCTGTAATATCGTCTTCAATGTAGGGTCAAAGTGAGCTAACACCGGCGCAGTACACATTCTAGCTTTTAATTCCTTGAAGGCTGACTCCTGTTCTGTTCCCCACACAAATGGCACATCCTTCTTCGTCAGGTAGGTGATTGGTAGAGCAATTTTCGAGAAGTTAGGGACAAAACGCCTGTAATAGCTGACGACCCCAATGAATCTTTGTCACGAGACCAACTAACCAGCATTGGGACGATATAACAGTGCCCTTCAGAGACAGTGGTCTAAACCACTGCGCTAAAAGGCCTATTAACCGGCGGTTACTGCATACCGCCGGTCGCTGGTTAAATACCCAACCCATCCTATCACTATCACTATCAAACTGTCTTGTCACTTCGTGACATTATGCCTTCCCTTTCAGCCCCATCTGGGGCCCCAACAGGGATGGGCACGATAGGCCGAAAACTTTCTCCAAGAGGGAGGTTTTCCAAGTAGGGACTGAGAACGACCCAGCCCACCCTGGGAGTCGAACCCAGGATCCTACCCGTAACCGCCGGCTAATCTGTCACGAGACCAACTAACCAGCATTGGGACGATATAACAGTGCCCTTCAGAGACAGTGGTCTAAACCACTGCGCTAAAAGGCCTATTAACCGGCGGTTACTGCATACCGCCGGTCACTGGTTAAATACCCAACCCATCCTATCACTATCACTATCAAACTGTCTTGTCACTTCGTGACAATCTTCTAGCCTCCCGTAGATTCTTTGGACGCGGGAAGGAAGTGATGGCGTCAATGTACTCTGGATTAACCGATACACCTCGAGAGGAGACCACAAAACCCAGGAATACCACCGAATCTCTTTCGAACTCGCACTTACTAGCTTTCACGTACAAGCTCGCCTTCCGCAGCACTTCAAAGACCTTCGCCGTAGTTCCTCGTAATTCCTCCAATGTATTCCCATAAATGAGGATATCGTCAATGTAGACCACGACTCCATTCCCTAGCAGTTCTCTAAACACCTCGTTCAGGAAGTGTTGGAAGACAGCAGGGGCGTTTCGCAGCCCATCACGAACGACAAGAGATTCGAACATACCATACTGTGTCCTGAACGCCGTCAGGTGTTCATGTCCTTCTGTCACCCTCAACAATTGGTACGCCCCAATTAGATCTAGTTTGCTGAAGTACCTTGCTTTTCCAAGTTCTTCGGTAATCTGGCCTATTAATGGGAGAGGGTAGGCATCTGGTATGGTCGCTTCGTTCAGTTTTCGATAGTCGATGACCATTCGCCATTGTCCCTCAGCTTTCTTCGGTATCATAAACATCGGTGAGCCGTATGGCAAGTTACTTGCTCGAATTCGGCCAGCGGCGATTCCGCGATCTAGTATGTCTCTCAGCGCGCGTCTCTGATCTTCTCCTTGAGCATAGAGGGAGGCGACCTTCAGGTTCGCCCCCTCCTTAAGCTCAAACTTCAAATCGTAAGACCTCGAAGGGGGAAGGGTCTCTCCTCCCTTCTTCGGATTAAACACGTCAATGTACTGGTGGTATTGCTCAGGAACTACCTGGAACAACTCGTCTTGTTCCTCCGGGCTCAGCTCTTCAAGCTCATCTTCGCCGCGGAGGTCTGTCTCGTCGGTTCGGGTCCTGAGCCCTATGGCTGCCAGGCTCGCGATACCTTTCGTCTGTGGAAAGGGAGAGGATAACTCTTCTCTTTTACTCGGTAAGGGTAGGGGAAAGGACACTGCGCTTTCCTCATTGTTCGTCTGGGGAATAGGGAAGAATATCATATTCGCTCCCCCATTCAGGATTACTCCCTCTTCTCTCATCCATTCCCATCCTATCACGACATCCGCGTCGCAAAGGGTGGTAACATCCAGCTTAATTGGGCGAACCTCGCCTAACTTCTCGACACCCAGACTCACTTCGACAAACTCCGTAATGGGTCCAGCCACACTAACCGAGCCATCGAACATGTGAACTGGTACACTCACGGGGTATTTCCTCTTATCCTTCCTAATCTTCCTGGCCGCGTTGGGACTTAAATATGAACAGGTCGCTCCAGTGTCCCACAGGGCCGTTAGTTCAATTCCTTTGACATACACGTTAGATTTGGGTTGGTTGTTACAGGTGGAAGGGATTAGGGTATGACAGTCGTTTATACATTTCGGAGTGGTGTTTACGGATTTATATACACATTTACCTGGTCTCATCAGCTCTTTCCTTTTACTGGGGGTAGGAATAGTGGCCGAGAGAATATGAGTGCGGACCCGCCGAGTCTCGCCTATCGCGACGGGTCCCCATCTTTTTCCTGCTCGTCCATCCCCCGCTCTCCAACACATGCTTCCTCCCCTCCGACTGCATTGATCTTCCTGTCCCCAAGAGGGGCGGCGTTTCCCCCCGTGCTAAATCTCCCTTCTCCTCCAGCATTTTGTCCAAAAGATCGCAAGGGGATGATCCCCGCTTTTACCTTTGCCGCTATTACAGGACAATCCCGGTTGTAATGCCCTCTCTCTCCACACCCAGTACACTTTCCTTCTTCCCAACGCTTTAAAACCTCATCAGCACTGGGTCTCGGCCAACGACGATTTAGTTCGTCTACATCCGTTGGTATCGCCCTTCCCCCGTTCGTGCCCTTAGGCTGCGCGCCCTCGACCTTCGCCGTAGATTGCCATTTCTCCTGGCTCCCCCGTTCCCCTCCCCGACTTACTTCCTCCTTCTTCTCCCCCTGGTCCTTCGTTTCCTTCCTCTTCCTCTCATTCTCCTTCTCCATCCTTCGCTGATGCAAGCGATTGTCCATGGGAACCACGAACTCAATTAACTCCCGGACGGTCTTGAAAACCTTTCCATGCCGAGCGATTTCATCCAGCAAGTGACCCTTCAGTCCATTCTTCGCCCGGTACACAAGGTTCCCATCATCACCCCATCCTAACACCGCTACATATCGCTGAAAGGCGGCAAAGTACGCCGAAGCCAACCCATTCTGTCGAAGCTCGTTTATTCCCCTAGCGGCGGTTCCCTCCTCATCAGGGTCTCCGAAGTTGGTCTTGAGATATTGGATGAACTTCTTATAGTCTAAAAGGTGTTCGGGGGGATCGTCTTTAGGAAAATCCGGTTGGACGGCGAGAAGAGGAGTTTCGCGTAGATGGGAGATCATGAAAAAGATTTTTACTCGATCGGTGGGAAACTTGCGGGCGTTGATTTTGAAGTGGACTTCGCATTCCGAGATGAAGGCGGCGAGCTTTGACCTCTCGCCTCTCCAAAGATCTGGGAGGGGAAGTTTTATCCCTCCACCTATCTCAGCTATTCCTGGGGTCGCCGAAGCTTGCCTCCCCATGGCGAATCGTACCCCTTCAGAGATCCCTTCCACTATTCCTCCAACTGTCTCCTGCTCCTTCTTCTTCTCCTGTTCCTCTCGGCGTCTCCTCTCTGCTATCATATCCCTGTTCATCTCCATCATCATGTTCATCATGGCCAGCATCATTTTCTGAGTGGTGGCCTCTTCCTCAGTTCTCCCTACTTCTTCGCTCCCCGCCGAACTTAGCCCACCTTCCGTGTCCTTCTCCCTTGGTCGTGGAGTTTGTCCTGACCCTTCTGAACCTGTCCTTACAGTCGGTGGTTCTGATAACCCCGTTGGCTGGGGGGGTGATTCAAGAGGTAGGGGTGGGTAAAATTCGTCTCCTTGAGTTGATCCTTCGGGGGTATCGATTGCACCAGGCAATGGCCCCAAGCTTTGTCTTAATTCCTCCAACATCCTCCTCTCCGTCTCTTCTACCGTTTCTCCTGGTCTACTCATACTTCTCGTAACTCTCCTCTCTGGCTGCATACAATTTTGATCTTCTCCGAGGTTTGCACGGGTCGTCGGTAGGAGCGATCCTTGATACTGTCACAATCGTCGTTTCTTCTCCTCTACTGACCGACGGTCGACAAACCTCGGCTAACTACGTCGTAGTGGGGCGTCGGTGTCTCACTAGGACAGGGTACTCGTCGGGGGAACTACGGCTAACTTCGCCGTAGTAATACGTCGAGTGGTAAGTGATAAGATGATCGTTGATGAACTGCGGCTAACTTCGCCGTGGTACGTCGAACTGCTCGATGGTAGCTCTCCTTAACTCGAAGGTTGTAGCTACTGAATATATCGCTCGCTACTGACAACAATCAAGGATCGCTGAAGAAGTTCAGCGATCTGTAAACTATCTATACTCCCCCTCTCTTCTCATAGAACGTCCCTCAACCCCTGTACAGCCTCGCGCTCAGTCCTCTTCGTTCAACTTCGCCGTACCTCGCCATATCCCCGATAACCTACTCCGACTAACTTCGCCTAACTTCCCCTACTCCACTCTCCCTCGGTTTCTTTCCCCTAACTTCGCCGTAGTTCTCCGTTAGGCGGGGTTGTCGTGACAAATAATCCCTAGGTTCTCGTAACTTCGTCGTAGTTGGTCTCAGTGGTTTGGGGTGGTGGTGGATAGTGGTTCGGTGATGGTGAAAGGAGGGTCGGTGATGGTAGTTGTCAGGGATGTCACGACATGGTTTGTGACAAATAGCCTTCCCCGACTTTCGCTGGACTTGTCACACGCTTTGTGACATTATGCACCCTCTTGGGCCTCCGCATTGGGGCCCGCTTGGGTCCCCACACTTGGGAAGGGTACGATAGACCGAAAACTTACTCCGAGAGGGAGGTTTTCCAAGTAGGGGCTGAATTACCCCCGGTGCCGTCCGGGAGTCGAACCCAGGACCCTACGCGTAACCGCCGATTAATCTGTCATGAGACATACTGATCAGCATATACACAATATAACAGTGCCCAACGTGACAGTGTTGTTAACCACTGTGACGACAAGGCCTATTAGGCGGCGGTTAACCCTACCACTGATCACTGGTTAGATACCCTTCCCCGACTTTCACTCGACTTGTCACACGCTTTGTGACATCTTCCTTTCACCATCACCAAACCCCTATCCACCATCAACCACCACAATCCCAAACCAGTGAGACCAACTACGAAGAAGTTTCAAGAACCTAGGGAGCATTTGTCACGACAACCCCACCTGGCGGAGAATTACGGTGAAGTTAGAAGAAGGAGACCAAGGGATACAGAGTAAAGTGGAGGAAGTAAGACAAAGAGAGTGCAGCAAAGTGAGCAGAGTAGGACATAGGGGACATGACAAGGTACGGCAAAGTTGAACAAAGAGGACTGAGTGTCATGAATAGTGATAAGGAATTCTGACTCATCCTCAGAATAGTGATAAGGAAATATGACTCATGCTAGGAACTGTGATAAGGATTGAAGGAAAATATGAGTCATGGTATTTAGCAGTTCAGCAGTGAGGCATTTATGTGATTGGCTGAAGCCTGGAAGGTTCAGCAGTTTAGCAGTGAGGCATTTATGTGATTGGCTGGAATTAGTTTCCCGCGGTGCACTCACTTTGAGGCATTTATGTGATTGGCTAGAAAATCCCTCACACGCTTTTTATTTAGTACACCTACTTTAGTTTTGAAGGGTATAAAAGGAGCACATCTCCCCCCTCTTTCTTCAGCAATGTATCTTCATCTTGAAGTTGAACTTCATCTTTGAAAGTCACCTAGTTGGTTCTAACCCAACACCTCAGTACCCTCAGTACCTAAGGCAGTCATCAAGCTCTACGAGCCAGAGACTAAAACCCTTCAGTACCCAAGGCAGTACTTTGCAACCGCAGTCTACCCGCAGGCGTGACAGTATACATTGCTCAACACTCTTTAGTCCTTGCTCGTCATCACAACACCTCTCGACATCATTTGCCACCCACTTCTGGATTTTTCATAATCCCTCAAGGTCAACACTAGAACTTTTCATAGTTCTCTCAAGGTCAACATCAGGACTTCTCATAGTCCCTCAAGGTCACTCAAGGTCAACAAAACACCCTTTCTTGTCATCACAACACGCTTTGTCATCATTTGCCACCCAACTTGAAAAAATTTGCCACCCACCTCAGAATTCTCCCACGGTCACCCAAGGTCAACACTCAAGGTCAATAACACTTGCGCAAAAATATTTCGCCACCACCAGGATTCGAACTCAAGACTTTTCAATATCACTCAACACACTTGCTGTGATCATACCTAGGGTCAACATCATCACTCCTTTGGTCAACATCATCAAACCACCCTTCGTCACCATCACTTAGGTGCTCAACACCATCAACATCTCAAACATTATAAAACTTTTTTGAAGTATTCTTTCAACAAATATAACTTGGTCTAAGCTGTTTTTATTGTTCCTTTTCCAACCCAAACATAATAAAAACTCAAGAACATTATCAAAACTCCAAAAACATAACAAAACTTCCAACATATCATACAAGTTCAAGAATCTTTGTTGACTTACAGAATTAAATCATCATGTCTGAAAACAACAACACCACCCACCTTACTGCAGAGCAAGCCTTCCAAGCTCAACAGGACATGATCCATCAGCTTCAGGCTCAAGTCAATGCTCTTCAAACTTCAACAAACATCAGACCTGAGCATGTCAAGGAACCCAAAATCTCTCATCCACCGCCTTTTACTGGCCGTAAGGATCAGACTTTGGAGTTCTTGGCCAAGTGCAATATGGTCTTCACTGTTCAACCTCGTACCTACTCCACCGACATCACTCGTATTGCTTTTGCTACCAATCTTCTCAAGGATGAAGCTTATCGCTGGGTACTCCCTTACTTAGGCATGGATGAAGGAGAACAACCCTCATGGTTACAAGTATGGAATGATTTTCAAATTGAATTCAAGAAATACTTTGGCGACTCAAACCTGGAAGAAACATCTCGATTTAAATTAAGGAACCTTCGTCAGACAGGCTCAGCTAGTGTCTATGCTACTGAGTTCCAGCGTCATGCTGCCTATGTCCATTGGAATGACGACACCAAGAAACAAAACTTCTTTGATGGACTCAAGGATGATGTTAAGGATCGACTTCTTGCCCCAAGCAAGTTTAAGGATTATGAGACTTTAGTCTCTTCAGCTATTGAATATGACGACCTACTTTATCAAAGGCGACGCTCCAACAACAATCCTCGTACACAATCAAACATCAATCAACGCTTTAACAACAACAATAATACTCCTCGTTCCAACACCTTCACCAACAACAATGCACGAACCACTTTCACTCCCAAGTACAACAACACTTTTACTCCTCGCACCACCTCAACCACAACTTTCACTCCAACTCCTATGGAAATCGACGCAACTCAAGCACACCAAACCTATGGTCCTCTCTCCCAAGCAGAGCGTGAACATCGCATGAAGAACAACCTCTGTAATTATTGTGGGAAACCAGGACACAAGGCTTTTGAATGTCGTGCTGCTCAACGTCGTCGTCAAATCAAGACTCAAGTCAACGCTACTACCACTGTAGACACCAAGGCAAAAAACTCTCAGCCCCAGGCTTAGGCGTGCCCCCACCTCTGGGGCTCTCTAAAGGGCACAACACGGTATCAACAAATCAACTTTGGATCACGGCAACATCGCTACTACCTTCAACAATAATTCCCGCATCACCCAAGGACCACCTCTGTCTTCCCATTACTCTCATGTTTGGGAACTCTTGTTACAACACTATGGCTATGATAGATTCTGGAGCAACTGCCAGTTTCATCAACTCAGCCTTCCTCGACACAACAAATATCTCAAGGCAACCCAAGGACACACCCCTCGAAGTTTCAGTTATTGATGGACGACCTATTGCTTCAGGCGCCATCACACATCACTCCGCTCCCATTCATTTGTGCCTTCCTGGTCATGAGGAAATAATTTCCCTTGACATCACATCACTTGGCACCTATCCCGTTATCTTAGGACTCCCATGGCTCTCTCGACACAACCCAAGCATTGATTGGTCCCATCAGACTATCAAGTTCGATTCCCAGTACTGCCTGGAGCAGTGCAGCAGGCCTGATAAACCTGTGGGAAGAGATTCTGCTCTTCAGTACCCTCGTAACTCAAGGAACATCTCGAGCTCAGGTAACTTGCCCAGCAAGAAAGCTGCAAGTACACCATCAAACAACAAAGGAAACATCAACCAAGGAAACATCAACAAAGGAAATATCAACAACTCTCGTAAATCAAGGACAAACACAAACATCACTACGTCACTCTCGCTACCCTCGACACATATCTCTTGTCAGCGCAGCATCCTTCCGCTCTGCCATGAAAAGCGCAGAAATTTATGGAATCACTACCTCAAGTCAAGTCTCAAGTCTCATTGATCCTCATCCAGCTGAGGACAATGATGATGATGACTCTCCCGCAGACATTCAGAAACTCAAGGAAATTATCCCCGCAGACTTCCATTCTCATTTGGAAGTATTTAGTAAATCCAAGTCCGACAAGCTCCCAGAACATGGACCATATGATCATGCCATAACACTTGAAGGCAATGCACAGCCTAAGTTTGGCCCAATCTATAGTCTATCTGAAGTAGAGTTAAAGGCTTTGGATGAATATCTCAAGGAAAACCTCAAGAAAGGATTTATACGACCAAGCTCAAGCCCCGCTGGATCACCAATCCTCTTTGTCAAGAAACCTGATGGAACTCTCCGCCTATGTGTGGACTATCGACAACTCAACAGTATCACTCGCAAAAATCGCTACCCACTCCCGTTAATTCAAGAATCCCTCGATCGACTCAAAGGTGCTTCATGGTTCAGCAAGATTGACTTGCGTGCTGCCTACAATCAAGTCCGCATTGCCCAAGGCGATGAATGGAAAACAGCATTCCGCACCCGTTATGGACACTACGAATATCTTGTGATGCCCTTTGGTCTCACAAATGCCCCTGCCTCTTTCCAGAACCTCATCAATGATGTTCTAAGAGACTTTTTGGATATCTTTGTCATTGTCTACCTCGATGACATCCTCATCTTCAGCAAATCAAAGGAAGAACATATCACCCACGTCAAGAAAGTCTTGGAACGACTCCAACAACATCAACTATGGGCAAAAGCAGAAAAGTGTACCTTCTTCAAACATGAGGTTGATTTCCTAGGCTACCTTGTCTCAGACAAAGGAGTCAGAATGGACCCTCATAAAGTAGAAGCTGTTACAAACTGGCCTCCACCAAAATCAGTTCATGATGTTCAAGTCTTCCTTGGCTTTGCCAACTTCTACCGTCGTTTCATCAAGGCATACTCCAAGGTCACGGCACCCCTCATTCAACTCCTTCGCAAAGAAGTCAAGTTTGATTGGGGTGAAACTCAACAAAACGCATTCGACACTCTGAAGAAATCATTCACCACTGCCCCTATACTTCAACACTTTCAACCAAATAAATCTATTGTTGTGGAGACAGACGCATCTGACTTTGCTATTGCAGGTGTGCTCTCCCATTCAGACAACAATCGACTCAATCCCATTGCTTTCTACTCTCGAAAACTTCAACCTGCAGAACTCAACTATGAAATCTACGACAAAGAGATGCTTGCCATAGTGGAAGCATTCAAACATTGGCGACCATACCTCGAAGGAACTAAGGAAATCACTGTATACACAGACCACAAAAATCTTGAATATTTCACAACATCTAAGGTGCTCAACAGACGACAAGCTCGCTGGGCAGAACTCCTCGCAAACTTCGACTTCAAAATTCACTACCGACCTGGAACAAAGATGGGTAAACCAGATGCCCTGACCAGGAGGTCAGACCTTCAAGGGGGGAGTAGAGCTGCAGATGCACCTCCACACACACTCCTCAAACAAGGACAATTTGTCATTGGTGCCCTCATTCCTCCAGACACTCCCAACGCACCCCCACACTCAGATATTATTGATAGGATAAAGCAACTTCAGCCTGAGGATCCCATCCTCCAAGAGCTTTTGCCTTACCTACAATCTCCCGCTACTCCCGTACCTCAAGGACTTCAAGGAAAACTCAAGGATTTTAGAATAAAGGACAACATCATTCATTTCAACAACAAAATCTATGTCCCAAACAACGATGAACTCAAGACTGATTTACTTCAACAAACACATAATTCCCCTACCTCTGGACACTATGGTCAACACAAAACATATCAACTTCTCTCTCGTCATTATTACTTCCCAGGCATACGACAATTCACCAACACCTATGTGGATGGTTGTCACACATGTGCACGCAACAAAGTCCCTCGACATAAACCCTATGGACCACTTCAACCATTACCCATTCCCTCTCAACCATGGCAATCTATTTCAATGGATGCTATTGTCAAACTTCCATTATCAAACAACTTCGACTCCATCATGGTCTTTGTTGATCGCTTCACTAAACAAGCCCACTTTATCCCGTTCAAGGAAGATGGCTTTGATGCGCCCAACCTAGCTACCATGTTCAGACAAAACATTTGGAGACTACATGGACTACCCAAGGATATCGTTTCAGATCGCGGATCAATCTTCAACTCTCAGTTTTGGCGCTCTTTTGTCAAAGGCTTAGGGATCACTCCAAACTTCTCTACTGCCTTCCATCCTCAATCAGATGGTCAGACAGAACGTGTCAATCAAGTCTTAGAACATTACCTCAGATCATTCTGTGGCTATGATCAAGCCAATTGGTCATCTCTTCTGGATCTTGCAGAGTACAGTTACAACAACTCTGTTCACTCATCAACAAAATTCACTCCTTTCCAAGCAAACTATGGGTATCATCCAAATGATCCCACTTCACCATCACCTTCAACTCTCTCTGTCCCAGCAGCAGGAGAACATCTTCAGACACTACGTCATCTTCATCAAACTCTTGCCAACAACATCAAGTCAGCTCAAGAAAATTATACAAAACACTTCAACAAAAAAGTCAAGGACATCAACATCAAGGATCAACCACTCTTTAAAGTTGGTGATCAAGTCTTCCTCAACAGACGTAACATTCAAACACTACGACCCTCGCTCAAACTTGATCAAAGGATGCTAGGTCCCTTCAAGATTATTGAAGCCACATCCTCTCCACTTGCGTTCAAACTTGAACTACCACCATCAATGAACATACACCCTGTATTCCACGTCAACCTTCTTGAACCCATGCGCAAAGGACATCCTCAACAACCTCAAGACCCTCCACCACGCATTGAAGTCAATGGTCAAGAAGAATATATTGTCAACCATATCCTCGACTCTCGTATTGGTGCAGACAATGGCTATGACTACCTTGTCAATTGGAAAGACTACTCCAGTGCCCATGATTCATGGGAACCCGGGGAAAATGTCAACCACACCACAGCCTACAGGACATTCCGTCGACAACACCTCAAGGATCCAAATCATCACTTCCCTCCAACCAAAGCTCATCGACAAAGACATCAAGAAAATACTCAAGAAAATACTCAAGACAAAACTCAAGACAACATCAACAGATCTCAACGTAGATCAACACGGCTCAGAGGACTTCGCCCTTAGAGGGGGAGCTCCTGTCATGAATAGTGATAAGGAATTCTGACTCATCCTCAGAATAGTGATAAGGAAATATGACTCATGCTAGGAACTGTGATAAGGATTGAAGGAAAATATGAGTCATGGTATTTAGCAGTTCAGCAGTGAGGCATTTATGTGATTGGCTGAAGCCTGGAAGGTTCAGCAGTTTAGCAGTGAGGCATTTATGTGATTGGCTGGAATTAGTTTCCCGCGGTGCACTCACTTTGAGGCATTTATGTGATTGGCTAGAAAATCCCTCACACGCTTTTTATTTAGTACACCTACTTTAGTTTTGAAGGGTATAAAAGGAGCACATCTCCCCCCTCTTTCTTCAGCAATGTATCTTCATCTTGAAGTTGAACTTCATCTTTGAAAGTCACCTAGTTGGTTCTAACCCAACACCTCAGTACCCTCAGTACCTAAGGCAGTCATCAAGCTCTACGAGCCAGAGACTAAAACCCTTCAGTACCCAAGGCAGTACTTTGCAACCGCAGTCTACCCGCAGGCGTGACACTGAGCGCAAGGCTGTGCAGGAGTTGAGGGCTGTTCTATGAGGAGAGAGGAGAAGTATATATAGTTTACAGATTGCTGAGCTTCTTCAGCGATTCTTGATTGTTGTCAGTAGCGAGAGATATACAGTGGGGTGCAGGAAAGGATAGGACAAAAAAATGCACAATTTGGCTGGTGAAATTGGTTGTGTCACTTTGACTCCTTACCACATATACAGAACTGCATGCATGCATCTCATATCCCTCATATCTGTAGCTCCAACCTTTCTCTATCCATTCATGCTTTCACCAAAACAATTGAATTTGTGAAGTGGAGCTACAGAGCATCTGGAAGTTGGTGAAATTTTCCTCAAAAAGGGGTCTCGCCAGCCAAAATGCTGACAACCCCTCCTTGTTCTCTGTCCCATAACTCTCTACTTTTTCAATACATCATCCTCAAGAACATAATCTACGTACCCTCCATGGATACATCTACAAGTCACGTTAATAGACCATGCCATCATCTGATGCATGTACAGAGCTGTATGCACCCAAAGAGAGGGTACCAAAGGCGGGGGTGAGAGGAGTTAGAAGGTGTGTGGGAGAATCATTCCTGTTTCCTCAATCCAGCATCTATTGAGCTATCTTTTTGGCTATGGATAGATGATACCCTTGCCTATGGTTCTGTGTAGTACCAAGTTCTCACGACGATTCATGCATGAGTTATTGATGATCAAAGAGAAAGACATGCAAACGCGCGGATTCTACGCGTGTTTGATCCTTTCCCGCACCCCACTGTATTCAGTAGCTACAACCTTTGAGTTAGGCAGAGCTACCACTCAGCAGTTTGACACACCACAGCGAAGTTAGCCGCAGTTCATCAACAACCATCTTATTGTTTACCACTCGACGTACCACTACATCGTAGTTGGCCGTAGTTCCTCGACAAGTACCCTGTCTCAGTGAGACATGGACACCCCAGTATGACATAGTTAGTGAAGGTTTGTCGACTGTTGGTCAGGAGAGAAGAAGAACCAACATTTGTGACAATGCATTACATGATCCATCACATCACACCAGAGACACCTAGATTTTCACGGAGGTCCATTGCACTCGACCCAACCTGCGACCTCATCGTGTTTACAGTACCGTTACACAGTCTCATCTGGTAGGACAAGGGGCGCAGGCCTTGGAACACTATGCGCTGTCATGTTAGTATGACTCTCTTTGACTACTGAATGGATCCGCCCTGTTGCACTACTGTCATGACCGGATAGCCAGCCTGTCATGACCGGGTAGTAAGCCCGCGATCATAAACCGTCCTGAAAGGCTCAATATCATTTCTGCTAACGAGAGTTGGTCTTGACACAGCCCGCAATTGTTACGTGACACGCGGAAGTCGTGACGCTTTGAAGCGTCATGGGGGTCAGCATGACAGGGGGAAGATCCGTGTCACAGGTCAAGGTCATGACACTCTGAAGGGTCATGGATTCTTGACCATGACCCATCAAAGAATCATTCCTCACCAACGACCACTGATATTGACAGTCACACCATTCCCTAGGGGGATGTTTGAGGCGGTGAGAAGTTACTAGAACAATTCTGGACTCAGATTTCACCATGCATGTGGTGAAAAATGCACCCCATTGGTCCATACCAGGCGGTGAAATCAAAGGGTCAATCTGCATCTTGAGCCTGTCCCACTAAGTGGGCATCTAATGACTGCAACTGACATCTCTTGGTGTTGCAGACAACACTGATAGCAAAATCATCCCTTCTAACCAGAGTTGAGATTAAGCCTTTCAAGATGTGTCACAATTGCGGGCTTGTGTTACGGAGTAACAACGAATCAAGAGAACTCCATCGAATTCGACGGATTAGGAAAGAGAACGGCGGGAGTTGGAGGCAGTGCTGCAGTAGATAGGGACGGGTTTTCCCTTTTCGAGATTTCCCCACTGGGTTTGCTCAAAAGCGGTTTTTCACCTGTCCGAGTATGTACATAGACGCTTGCAGTAGGACTGAGAGGAGGACACGGATACTTGTAGACAGTATATAGTACAATCAGCAAAGCACCAACTTTGCTGATCCTTCAATATCATTCTTTGGCTACATCAATTACATAGGAGACACGATCCATCACATAGTACCAGAGACACCTAGATTTCTACGAGAGTTCCATCAAGTTCAACCCAACCTGCGACCTAGTTATCGTGTTTCCAGTAGTGTTTCCAGTACCGTTACAGCTTGGTACCCGGTGACACTTGGATTTATCATATGTGCTCTCTCATTCTTTGGGATCTACCCGTCTACTGGGCTGCAAGGTGGAAAATCACCAACCCTTTTCCCCTCTAATCTCAGTTCAAAGTAGCACTTTATCAACGGAGATTGTATGGCAGAGTTGTGATGAAGGATTTGGAACAACTTCACCACGCACGGGTCTGGACCAACCAACAGTGAAACTGCCAAGGACCGGAGACTGAAATGCAAACGTGTAGGAGCATGCTTTCCACGATGATCATTGATTTTCTTGTAGATGAAAGAGAGAATGCTACAGCCAGCTCTGGGTATGTAGCCGGCATATCAGCGTAGCAGACCACCTTTTCAAATGTATCTAAATGCTACACATTCTCACACCTAGAGCTCCACTTTCCCATTCCCTTTCCCCTCAATCACCCTTTCTAGAAAGAAGCCCTTGAGAGTGAGACATGAAGGCTCCTAAACCAAGGGAGAGTCAAAAAAAGACCTGGGCTTTGAATTGAACGGATTTCTCTCCTTTTACCTGGCACCGTCTCCTTCTTCCCTCTCCCTTCTCCCCTTGACCTTGACCTTGCCTGCTCCTCCTCCCTACCTGTCTGTCTGCTTTCCTTTGATTATTTTCTCTCACCAATCTACTCTTCTCCTCCACTCCTGGGCTTCCTCCCGAGCCTCCTCCTCGGACGTTCCCCTTCTACCCTCTTCCCGTGTGAAAACAAACCAAGCATAAATAGGTGGGATGTGAGGTCTAGGCGCCATCACCTCTCCTCAACAGTCCTACGTTGATAATTTGATTTTCACACGCACCTCAAGTTGGAGACCTGTTTGAGCTGATTTTAACGTTACTTGACTTCGAAACCCATGGCAGACCTGGAAGAATCCTCCTCAGGAACGGCATCCACATGGGCACCATATTTGCCTCTCGTACCAATAGCACTATCAGCAGCTGGAACAGCTCTGTATGTTGTCCACTCTTTGCAAATTGGGAAGGAACCCGATGAAGCTTTCAGGTTTCACACGCGTGCCTCTGCAAATTTCACGAGCGGTACTCGCTACCACCGGCTCCTAACATCCGAAGTCACTAGGTCAAAGGATTGCCAGAAGCTTGTCTCTACCACCTTGGTAGGTCAACAGCTTCCCTCCCCACCACCCCTGTGAAGAGTTTGAATCTCAGGGGTCACGCTCATGCTGGGAAAGTAGATCTGTTGAGGCCAAGTATACTGATGACTAGCTAGCACTCAGGATAGGTGGGCAAGAGTCAACTTTGAAATCTTTCACGCGCCAGCACACCGAGGGTGAAGGAGAGCTGAACTACTCCCCAGAAGCAGGGGACCCCTCAGAATTCACCCATTGGATGAGCCTACTTGATGCGCGTATGTCAACACGAGGTCTGCCGCCTAGATTCAAGACTTTCAGGATTGTCAGCGAAACCACATTTATCCACCCAAACACAATGCCAGGTAGTTGGGCAGAAGCACCACTCGAAGAATCAGTTGCAGTCCAAATAATGCGCCGAGACGCCGTTGGGCTCGCAGAATACGTGATGACAGGCTGTGGATCAATATTCAAGCAAGCACCTGGGATACAAAGCGGTATACCAACAGACCTCAATGGAGTGGAGGAGTTGACCCAGGTTGAAGACACTGAAGCACAACTTAAGGGAATCATTTCCTCACGGGGAAGATACACATGGCTGAAATATGAGACCCGCACGGTAACCGCCCGCGTGTTGGGATGAGTTGAGCTGAGAAGAGCATATTCTATTCACGTACTGGCAGCATTGCCCTTGGTGTGCCTCTATTGGAAGTGATCCTCCATGTATCCTGTGAATCTCATAGTTGGACGAGCGATGAGAGAGATGGAAGGTCTATTTGCAGCTGATGAACATCTGACATTATATGACTATTGGAACTGTATGCCCTGTCCTCACCTGTATTCTATATTGGACCTCATTCACTGAAACACGCCTGTCTCAGGCGCTATGTCTCATCTTGAGTGTTGCTAGTGATATCATTTTCAGTCCGTCCTGGGTTTTCTTGAGGTGACTGCAATTATAGTCTTCTTGTCTCATAAAGATGTCTTTCTAGCCTTTAGAACTCGAATGGGAACGTTCACACGCTACTGCTAGAGTGGTGTAATGTTGATGATAGAAACACCTCTAAGCCTTCCTTGGCCTGTATGAGAAAGAAAACCCTACTTGAAAGGAGGATTCTGAGGCTGTGAAGCAGTTTCAACTCCTTCCCATTTGCCCGGGAGACCTGCAGATTATAAATGAAGGATGATTGACCGAGTTTGCCGCTCATCATTCTCCTCCAGATCGATCCGAACAGTACTAGTCCTCCTACATATTTTGACACACATGAGCAGTCAAACTAATCCATCCCTGCTCTCCCAAATTGCGGCTACTCTTGGTGGAATTTTTCCCTTCCTGCGGGGAAATGAACCTGAACTTGAATTGGTGTCAATCAGCATATTCTATCAAGAAGTCCCAACCGACCGGCTCGAAACCGCACCGGTGCTTTACCAAAGAATTTATGAGCTACGTCATAAGCGAGAAAAGTACATGGTGCGCATCTGTTCTCAACTTCAGCGTGAGTCACAAGAGCCTATCACTTCTAACGGGCTTGTCTTGAAGTCCAAAACAACTGTACGTCATGACTTCCTGATTGTCTTTATTCCCCTATCAGGGATATGCTGAAACTTGTGATTTTGGGCTGACTATACTTATAGATTGCTTTCACCCGGTCCAAGAATCCGGATGGGCTCCCTACAACCACTACCTCCAGTCACTGGCTAGATGTCCCAGGAGACATACAGATTATACACCATACAAAAGAGGAGGAACAGCAGTGCGTCCAATCTATATGGGCACTCATTTACCTTGTTATTGTCACGAAGTGACAAGATAGTTTGATAGTGATAGTGATAGGATGGGTTGGGTATTTAACCAGCGACCGGCGGTATGCAGTAACCGCCGGTTAATAGGCCTTTTAGCACAGTGGTTTAGACCGCTGCCTCTGAAGGGCACTGTTATATCGTCCCAATGCTGGTTAGTTGGTCTCGTGACAGATTAACCGGCGGTTACGGGTAGGATCCTGGGTTCGACTCCCAGGGTGGGCTGGGTCAAATTCAGTCCCTACTTGGAAAACCTCCCTCTCGGAGAAAGTTTTCGGCCTATCGTACCCTTCCCTGTTGGGGCCCCAGATGGGGCTGAAAGGGAAGGCATAATGTCACGAAGTGACAAGACAGTTTGATAGTGATAGTGATAGGATGGGTTGGGTATTTAACCAGCGACCGGCGGTATGCAGTAACCGCCGGTTAATAGGCCTTTTAGCACAGTGGTTTAGACCGCTGCCTCTGAAGGGCACTGTTATATCGTCCCAATGCTGGTTAGTTGGTCTCGTGACAGTTATACCCCCAGGATCAAGTGTAGAAGGGGAGTTTGGTGGTACAATTGAGAAGTTACAGACCGTGCCATTTGAACCCAACAAGCAAACCCCATTCCATAAAGCAGGAGAGTCTGCCATGTGGGGTGATGTTGCCAGCATTGTCTCATGGATCGCATCCCACATAGTGGAGGAGGAAAATGATTGGACAAAAATTGGTGATGTGCCAGAGCTACAATCACTATATAACCCGTCCATAGAAGACATAATACGTAATTACAGGTCACACTCCCACCCCCAGGATTCACACGGGAATTAGGTCCAGTCAATCATAATTGCAAAGCACAAGGGGTCTACTTGAAGAGGAGGGACCAGGTACATGAAGAGACCAGGGGCCAAAAGGAGCGTGATGATATTGATGACCACCCCTGGCAATGAGGTGGAAGATAATACTTAGTGCTATGGATGTACGTAGGTACGGAACAATTGAGGGAAGATGCATGATGATGACGAGGACGTGATAGGACCATGTCCTATCCTGATAGATACTTGCAGGAATTTTCAGTGAGTCGTTCCGTGCGGTAAACACAGAACGTTGCGTGCACGTTAGGCCCAATACACAAGTCAAGTAGGGAATTGTCCCAGTCCATGGCCATGATGGCCAACCATACTTCTTCTAGCCCCTATTTCTGGCACATCAATCCCAGATCAGGCATTTCGACAAAAAGTGAGATGAAAGTAGAATGAAGAAAGAGAAATAGGTGAATGTGGCACAAACCTTTCAGCTGGACAATCTTCAATTCTGCTTCAATCATCCGTGTGACATGCCATTATTGTAGAGTGGTACCCAACAGTCAAGGTATGACTTTGGAGCTGGTACTTTAATGACGGGCAGGATACTACATCAGTGTCGAGAACAGCGGAATTCAATATTGAGAATACCAAAGTAAGTGATCCATGCATGATGAAGTTGTGATGATGTAATTTATTACAATGATATCTGTCCTATTGCCCTCCATGCTGGGTTTTTCCCACCCAGTCCAGCAAACACATCAATCTATACCACAGATAGTCAACAAACCCATTTATCCCCATATGACATCACGAATCTTGAATGAACTCATAAACTGACACGTTGTCGTTCCAACACCGAATTTTGATTCGAATCCCTCGACACACGCCTTCCCCTCAGCGCAAATTCTATCAAGCAATGCAGAGGAAGGAACTCACCAGTAATACTCTAAAACGTCATGAGCGGCCAGACGTTGAAGAAATGCTTCATCGTGAGTAATAACGACGAGTTGGAAGTTGGCCTGACGACGTCTTTCTCGTATGATTCTGATTATTAGATGATTCAAGGAACGCCATGATAACTTACTCTGCTAGGGCTTCAGCAAGAGAGTTGATGTTTTCATACTTTGTCAGCTGACCTATATACACTACCAGATAAGAAGTTAACACACAGCGTCGAGGTTGGTAGTTGGTCTGATATCAGCTTTAAAACCACAAAGGGAGGGTCACATGTTAAAACAACAATCGTTCAAATGATGGCTTGGATACCTTTTTTATCCTAGAGGTGTCGAAGTAGTGGCGCATGAATAAACAGCGGGCGAAGATGGATGAGAGTGGAGAGGAGAACAATGGGAAAGAGGAAGAATGACCCACTCGTCCAAAGCCAACACTCCACATCCTTGTCCAAATGACTCAGCCAAGGCTAACCGAATGATAATCGATGCCAGGACTTTCTGCCCAGCTGAACATCGACCTCGCATGTCGAGCTCGACATCGTTCTTGACCATGACCACGCGGTAGTTGTATGATTTTCTGGTGGAGGTGGAACTCGCTTCATCATGATCGGACATGATTTTGATACAATCGATATCTGGGATCAGATATCGAGCAAGTTGTCGACCTTCACCAGGTATAACAAACAGGCAAGCAGGATGAACCTCATCTCCCAGAGCGATGGACCCCAGAAATAACGGGAAGACAAAGAGGTGACATACGTGATAGAGAACGGCCGGGAAGGAGGTTGAAGAGATGACTCACCTGTGCCTTGATACACAATCCCCCAGAGATGAGCAAGCAATGAATTGATTTCATCCATCTTGATCGAGTGATAGCGGAGGATAGCACTGGGATGAGCGATATTCACTCTCCTGACTAGATGATATGACTAAATGCTGATTTGTAGAAGAAGAGATTGAAGTCTAGGCAAATGATGGGTACGGAATGGAATCCAAAAAAGCACCCACTTATCCAAAGCCTTTCCGTATTTTTCCAGATCATTATTAGCCGTCTCGCTAACCTATTCTATCAGCTCTGCATTCTCTCTCTCTTCCCATTCTTCTCTATGCAAATTTCCACCCTGCGCTACACCTCATACAAGATACGAATCCGATGAGACAGTCATTCGATACGAATGATGTCTGATCACTTGCACAATAATTAGAAATAATGGCCCACCTTTGTCTTGATGAGTTGATCCCTAAACAACCTATCGACATTCTTATAATCCTCTTCCAAAGTCTTTTCCAACTTCTCCCTATTCTGATTGATCCCAACTAACAAACCTTGAGCTCTCTGCCATGAATTTTGGACTTTAGTCTCTTCCTCTAATTTCGCCGAATACTTCGTATTGAATTCTCTCCTACTTTTCGCCATTTGTTCTAGATCAATAGCTTCGAGGTCTTCTTGTACTTTGTCGATCTCTCTGGCTTGTTCACGATAAGTGATATTGGCGTTGATATTACTTTTGACAGCACCTTGTCGTGAGAGTTCATCTTGAACTTTGGATATCTGAGTTTCGAGGGAAGAACGAGTTTCAGAAGCGGAGATGAGATCACGTTTGATTTCATCGATTTGAGCTTCGTTTTCACGCATACGACGGTCATTCCCTTCTGCCACGTAGCTGAGATTTAGCTTTACACAGACTCTTCTCAGCAGGACTCGAATGCAAGGAAAGTCTATCGCCTTTCATCCGTGAAAACCATAGATGAAAGAAGACATAAGCAGCGTAAGTGAAATAAGCCCAGAGGAGCGGCTGGTGTACGGGTCGAGGGGGCATGATGCCGGCAAATAAGATGTAAGAATGTGCGGGCGGACATAGGGTGCGGAAAGAACGAAAGGAGTAGCAGTGGCAGCTGGTGAGAGGAGGGGCGACGGAAGGAAGAGTCAAACTCACGTCACACAAGCCCGATGTTTCCCCTCCAACTCATGTAAAGACGATTGATACATCCCCACATTCAACCCCGCATCATTCTCCGCATTTTGTCTCTCTACCCTATGTCGACTCAAAGTATCGTTCATCTCCCTCCAAGGGGCGTCAGCAGCTTGAGCAGCTGTGTCCAGTTCCTACGTTTCAGCATTACGTAGGACAACTTTGAGCGAGTGATTGGTCATAATCTTTCTTCTTGGCTCAAAAGCGAGCTCTATGCCTTCGGTCTCTACTTTCAGAATCCTGAAGAGGTCGATCAATACCGACACCCTGACATTCACCCGGCTGAAAAAGACAAAACGACCTTTCCTTCCACTTCCTTCACGCCCGTCTTTCCTGCTGAAGGAATCGTCGTCACACTCATTGACGGAATATGTGATGATAATGAAAAGAAAGAGGCTCGGGGAATTCGACTCACTTTCAATTCGGCCTGAAGAGCAATCACCTGATCTTGCAGCTCTTTCAACGCCGCCTCTTCCCTCTCTCTCCTCTCTTGTTGTCCTTTTAACTGATTCAACCTTAGAGTTTTTCGAGTGATATCGTCTTGTTGACTTCTCAACGAGTTCAACTTGAGTTCTTTCTCAGAGCTCAGAGTTTGTTGTTCTCTCTGAAGGGTTTTGCTAGTATTGTTAGCTATCATTTCCCAAGTCTCAGTTCAGCTCAATACTGAACTTCCCGCCCGCCACAAACGTGATCGAAAACAGGATAATTCATCATCGGTTTGAAGTAGAAGGATGGAGAAAGACAAAGCTGAAAGAGCCGTCGGCAGCCATTTGAAGAAAGTATACGAGAGAGCAAAAAGTGGACAATGTACGGAAGGGAAGAGAGAAAAAGACAGAATGACGAAATGAACACTGTAGCGTCAAACTTACATCTCATTAGTAACCCTCTCAACCTCCCCCTGTACCTCCTCGACGGTCTTTAGACTACCTGAACTTTCCAAATCCCTTTCCAACCTCTTCACATCATTTTCCAAATCCTTTGTCTCCCCTAAGATCCTACTAATCATAGAAGCAGCGTTCTTGAGGGTTTGTAGATCTCTCACTACCAATTTAGCCTTTCCAACTCTCACTTTAGTCTCTTCCACTTCTTCTTGTTCTTTCTCTAATCTTTTACTTTCATCAGATATTTGCGTCTCTAAAGTGGGAATAATTTGCTCTTTCAACTCTTTAACCGTCAATTCTGATGGTTGAAGTTTACGCAATTTATCTAATTCCAACTTCCATCCTTCTTCTTCTTCTTGCATTTCTTTAAGACCGGCGGTGGAGAATCTTTTCAATTGGAGTTGGACGTATTTTTCGAAGGCTTTTTCGTCTGAAGCGAGAAGAGATCGATCACATCCGAGACATTTATGTTTCGTCTTGCCTACTTCGAGCATTTTCGCCCAGTGTTCTTTCATCGCATCGGCATTGAGGAGGTTTCTGCTGCGTGAACAGCTGCATTGTGGCTGATAAAGGCTGCGGCATCACATCTGCGAACGAAGAGTTACTTTGACCAAGAACATGTGGTTAGGAGATCATGGGGCATGGAAGGAGAATGGAGATGAGGAAGAAGAGGCAGTTGACATACTTTTGACGGTACTCCAATTCTTCCTCAGCCTCAGAAATAGCTTCCTCAATTGTCGACTTAGACGATTCGCTCAACCCCGCTTCGATAGCTTGTTCCAGCCCTATACGTCAAAATCATCCCCCAATATTGTGACAGAAGGGAATCACGACGCAGTTCATCTCTTTTCGTGGCCAATGTACTCTTGGCAATGTTTATGGAGGTTTGAAGTTGAGACAAAGTTCGATTAGAAGCCGAAGCCGCAGCTTCAGCTTCAACCAACTCTCTATCTCTTCTCCTATCCCATAAGCTTTTGTCTCCCAAAAGTGAAAAGTCAAAAGGACGTACCCCGCGGACAAAGTGATTTTCTCTTCCATACTCTCCGCTTCGAGGTCGGTTCCTACTAATTCTTTGAACTTTGCCGAGTGACTAGCAACACTTATGTGTCAGTCATCCCTTGTCAAACTCCATCAAGGGAACGAGGGGAGGAGATGAACGAGAAGAGATAGATAGAGTGAACAGAGAGGATGAAAGGTTGTAGGAGAAGAGAAAAAAAGAAGGGGAAGAATGCAGCTAAGGAGAGGAGGAGACAGGAACAACATACGAAGCTATCACTTGACTAGATTTAGATTGCAATTCATTCCTCTTGATGGACAATTGAGCACGACTATCACTCTGTCTATTGAGAATAGCAAGCTCAGCATTGATCTTATCTCTATCCGTCTCTTTCTGCCTGATTGCCAAGGATTTTTCACGGATCGTCTCGTCGTATCTCGATTCCGAAATGTCATTTTCCAGACGTGCTCGAACCTCTTCTGCCTCGGCTAACTTGCCTTCGAGGAGTTCCACTTCGACATTGACGGAACTGACAGACTCGAATTGAGCTTCTTTAGTGCGTATGTTTTCGTTGAATTTGACCTGTGCGTCAGTTACTTCCTCGAAGTTGACACGAGGTTATTCATCAGGTACTCGCTCCACGAGAGACACGAAATAGGTCAGGAAGGAGACGAATGGGGAGTAGACAGAGTATACGAGTATAGAGCATAGACTTATGGACGACAAGACAAGGAAAGCTAAGAAATGAACATACAATATGATCCTGTTTGCTCTTCTTCGTGGCCATCGTCTCCGTTCGAGCAGCTGCCAACCTATCCAATTCTCTTTGCAAATCCCTCTCTTTCCTTGCCCCATCCATCTGTACTTTCTTCTGTTCTGTCTCTGCCCTTCTCACCAAATCATGTAATATATCAATAAACTCCACTATCTTATTCTCTTCCAGAGGAGAATAATCATACCCCGCATAATTATGAATTTTAGCAGCTTCCCTCACAGCTAATTCCCTCTCTTTCAAATTTCTCTCATATATCTAAATCATCAGCTGTCTTCTTCAAGCTGAAGCATCGACCCACTTTGCGATTAGCGATCAAACCGCCTTGTGTACTTGCTAAATTCCTCTCTCTCCTTCGTAATTCTTCCATTGAAGCTTCTTCTTTATCTCTAGATTCTACCAATCTCATCTTTCGACCTTCGAGTGATTTGAGATGTTGATCAAAATTCGCAATCATTTCTAATAACTCTTTTGTCGATTCGGTCATTTCTTTCATACCTTCTAATGTCCGTTGTTGGTTTTTCTCCAACATGTTTTTCCTGATTTTGAGATTTTCAGCTTCTTGAAATTTAGATTGAAAACCCGAAGCTTCGGCATAATATTGCATGTTGACTTGTTTAATCTCTTCGAATTTTTCTCGAAGACGCTCGACTTCTTCTTGTTTTTCTTGTTCTTCTTCAATTGCCTTTTTTAATTCCGCGCGCATCTTTGCGTCAGCCAATGATGACACTTCTGTTGTAATGCTGATCTCTCATAAGAAGTCTCCAAATACCTCCAGACGTTGATAAGTTCATTCCTCTTAACATTCAAACATCTTTACCCACAAAACTTCTAACCTCAACCACCAGAAGCCGCACTCAAAGGGTGAACGTCTGAACAACTCACCCGCTCAGCTTTGTTCTTATCCGCCTTGAGAAAATTCAATCTCTCTTTATCGACCTTAAGCTCTGCCGTCCGTTCTTTCCTTATCGCCTTTATATTGTCCAGAGCTTTTGTGTACCTCTTCTTCAGCTGACTCAACAACAGGAATGGGTATCTTACCGAGTGGCTTCGAATATCTCATCAAAACGTTTCTTCAACGAACTTGCGTCGCTCAACGGCCAACTTGAATCTTCTTGATGACAAAAAATGACATTTTCGAGAATGGCTTTGCTGACTCCTAGCAAAAGAGGTAATTCTTCGTCCATTTCGGAACATTTGGTTGAGATGGTGTTTCTCTGTGTTTTCAGCTCTGTATGACAATCCTCGCCGAGAAAGAACAAAAGACTTCAAATGGAAAGACTTTTTCGGCTTGATAGACGCCATAAGTCGTGGGAAGGGGGCTGGGAAAGAAGCGGGGAAAAGACAAAAAAAGACATCAAGAAGAGAGGAAAGATGAAAGAGGAGAAGGAGGCGGAATAAGCAAAAATTACAGGGAAGGAGATATGAAAGACCAGACAGGGACGAAACAAGAGGGGATGAAAGTGAATTGAGAGATCCGAAGGAAAGAAGAACATCTTGAACCCACCTTACCCTCTCCCCCATTCTCATCAGTCTTCGCTAGAATCCCTTCCAAAGTCTTCATAGTCAAACCTCCAGTCTTCTTGACGGTAACCTGTACATTCCTCGTAGCAGTCATCCTCTGTCTATTCACATTCCAAAACCTCAACCTGACCTGAGCTTTCACTTCTTTCTCATTCGCCATCTTAGGATCATGTATGAAAGCTCCACCTTTAGTATTGGGTGGCATTTCCCCCGTCGTGGCGTATTTCAAACATTCTATTATTGTTGTTTTACCAGATCCGTTATGTCCTACTATGACAGTCAGAGGTGAATAAAATTCGATGACTTGAACATGTTTGTCGTCGAAAGAACGGATTCCCCTGATAGCTAGTTTGTTTAGGGATGCCATGGTGAAGAAGCTACCTCACTTGATCTCGATTATGAAGTCTGAATCATTCGCTAAACCTTACTGATACTGTGATTTGTGTCTGTACCGATCAGAGGTGATCTATCTGGAATGGACAGAGGCACTTGTATGAAGAGTATCAAGGTTGTAGAGTTGTAGAGTTGTAGAAGAAAGTGACGCTCACCGGTAAGTAGTCGCGTCAACCGAAATCTGTGCCACGTGACTTCTCGGACATCGCCGCTCAAAGTGGCAAAACCACATTTCTTCTCCGTTTTCCCCTCTCTTCTCCTTCTGCTTCTGTCAAATGTCTTGGGTATGTTACCATCTCTCATCATATACTAACCTCTTCTGACCTCTTAGTTATTCTCTTCTTTCGCATCATCATCTCATAAACCTACTCATGTTATCGGTTCATCCCCCAATGTCTCCCCCACTCCCGTAAGAATCGAAGACGAAGAAGATGATGATCGACCTCCCCCATTCCCTCTCCCCAACTCACACCAACGTTCCGCTCTTACCATACCTCCTCCAACTTTCAACCTCGCTCCACCCTCTCCCGAACATTTATCCGACGAACCATTATCCGATCTCAACATTGCCATCCTACCCGATCCTATACCATTAGGTAATATGGCCCCTCCTCCACGTACCACTGTCAAACCTCATTTCGGACTCCAAACCGGATCTTCTTCCGAAACTCAGACCTCAAACGAGAAGAGAACTCGGAAAGTCGCTTTGACACCTGGTCATTCGCCCCTTGATTGGGCAAGGTTGACCTCGAGTGGGAAAAATTTAAGAGGGACAAAGTCATTTCCATTGAGAGTTACAATGGATGAGTTGAAGTCACATAATAAGAGGGATGACGCTTGGTCGATCTTTAATGGGAAAGTATATAATATAACACCTTATCTAAGTTTTCATCCTGGAGGAGAGGAGGAGTTGATGAGGGTTGCAGGGAGAGAGGGGACTAAGTTGTTCAGTGAGTGAATCTTGTATCGAAACATTGTATGTGCGTGTGTTGTGGATCGGAGGGGACAAGCGGAGCAGAAGGGGAGGGGGAAGGAAAAGGGGAAAGAGAAAGCAGTGAAGCGGGAGGGAGGGGTGAGATAGAAAAAAGAAGAAGAGATCGCTGATGGTGACAGTGTTAACGCATTCATGGGTCAACCTAGAATATATGCTACACGAATGTTTGATAGGAATGTTAGTGAGGGGTTGACATGGCGTCACCACTTCGACTCTGGGTGTAAGATGGGATAGGAAGGGAAGAGCATTGCATTTATACCATTGTCTTGCATGTGTTGTGATACATATAACATGACGGCTAGTATGTCCATGAACGAGTAGTCATAATATCAAATGTCAAACCTGACTTTGGCCGAATCTCACATCCACATCCTCATCCGCATATCTTCCCTGTTACAACTCACCTCACCTCCTCTTATGACGACCTTCCCTTCTTCAAATGTTGACCTCGTTCCTAGCTCTGCTTCAGTCGAGGCCTCTCCTGAGCAGACTGCCTCAACACTCTTCAAAGTCATCCACCCAGATAGGCCGTCTTCTTCCATTCTCCCCGACCTCCCCTCCCAGGATCGGGACAGCATAAGGGCTATCATCATCCAGATGGATCCTCCTGCTCTCAAGCTGTCCGACCAATGTTTACATTCCACTTCCTCCATCTCAACCCACTCGTCCACTCAGTCGTCTGAGCTGATTCAGATCAACCAACCAAATCAGTCAAGCCAGCCATGCCAGCCAGATCGTATCCCCGCTCATGTGGTAATCCCTGACGATCACCACGACGATAATGACGTTACCAGTAATTCCTCCTCTCTACCTCTGACCAAACCTATAAGACCCCCATCTCAACACCTTACCCCTCAAGCAGCCCCTATAAACCGTATTCAATCTAAAAGAGGTCATACCACCACTTCACCTCGTACAGCAGCTACCAACAGAGCTAGATTCGCTTCTCTTTATCCTTTCTCAAGTTCGTCTTTCTTAACAGGTCCGGCAAGCTCATCATCCTCTTCAACTGCAGTTGCAGCTGCTTCAAGTTCAGGACAAAGAATAGAATCACCTTCATTCTTCAGAAGAATGTTGACTACTTTACCTACTCCCGCACCGTTGACTTCTCCCTCAGTCCAGACAGATTTTATGTCTCCAGAGTTGGATGATTCTATGAAAGGTGAATCTCCGATAATGACCAAGGAAAACGATAATGAAGAAGAGGGAGAGGGAAAAGGTCAGGAGGGTAGAGAGTTACAAGTCCATATCTTGGACAATTCTCATACGGTGGAAAGTTTAACACTTCTTGAGTTACCAGATGAGATGTAAGTTGTGTTTCTTCTTCTTATTTACCTCTCAATCCCCACCCACCCTTTTGAGCTGTACACCTCACCCAGCCTTTCCAGATGCTACTCCTTCCCTCTCAACTCTACCATCCCTACGGAGTTTCACATGTTCGATTCTCCTCCACATCCCCTGTTTACTTATTCTTTCACGTGGGCTCATTCCCTCATCTCATAAATTCCTCGACCGCAGAGTCATCTTCGTTCTCAACAATGACTTGACATAAGAAGACTCCAGTCTCTTCCCGTCGCCCTCTCGAGCTAACCTCTCAGCCTACTCTCAATCCTACTTCATCTCCCTCCCACCCCTTCTCAACTCCTACTCATTTCATCTATATGTACGCAGTTTCACATTCTATGTCATTCTCCTATCCTCTGGCAAAGGATCTTTTATTCAACTCCGGGATTCCGTCTCAATGCTGAGGCTTTAGAAAGGGGAGTGGTCAGCACTTTTGCTCCTCCTGGTGTATGGAGGGATGAACAGTGGTTATGGGACGCTCAGCGGGAATCAAAAGATGGTCACGAGAAAGTGGACGGTAATCCTAAGTTCTCGATGTTTCCCTCGAAGACGACCAACGATCAAGATGATTCCAACTCCCCGGTCACCCCAAGACATTCATCAACAAAGCATTCCACTCCGTCCAAAACTCTCTCTACGGCGAAGGTAACATCATCTCCTCTGACTCTACCTATACCCAACGTGTCAAATGAAGCGTCCCAAATCCCTAGCACTCTCGGAAAATGGAGCAGAGAAGAAATACCTATCCATTATCCCACGATATATAGATCAAGATTAAATCTTTTCAACCGAATACTTCCATCTGTCGAACCTTCACATAAGACTTTATCCCATACATCTCGTAATCTATCTCAATACGAAAACAATCATGGTTTCTCCTCTTCACATCCTTCTGATCCTGCACATCTTCCAGAATGGCCATACGTAGATCACGCCGCGATACTGTTAGCTGACATGTTTCCTTCCCATTATCCAGGTGCGTATTATATCGGTTCCGACCCACTTGAAGAGGATGAAACACATACCGAGAACCTTCGAGGACATAAAAGTACCGTTTATTGTGTTGAGACTTGTGAAGATTGGTTGATCAGTGGATCTAGAGATAAAACTATACGTTTTTGGAAAATGAAAGAAATTCCTTTAAATCTTTCTTATGACAAGAGGATAAAGTCTACAAAGTCGTGGGGGAAACTTGGATCTGAAAAGGAGAAACGTGATTTGATACTTACAATCGACAATGCTCATCAAGGAAGTGTATTGGCTTTACAATTGGATGCTTGTGATTTAGAAAGGGATGGGAAAGGTTTATTAGTCAGTGCAAGTTCAGATGGGACTGCGAAAGTTTGGGAAATTGATTGGACCCCTATTGCCAACCACATCATGAAATACGATCAGTTTCTCAAAGATGTCCCCTCAAACTTGAATATATCATCGGAATTGGATTCCTCAACCAAGAATAACAATAAATCCATTTCTACCGATGACAAACGTCCAGCCGATGCGGTACTTGGGAATATGGATCGATCGAACGTACAAGGAAATTCTCAATCCGAGATGAATGGTTTGGAAAAGAATAACATGATGGGTCAGAAGGGAAATGAGAAGAAAGTTATGGAAATAAAACATCTCGCTACTCTTCGTGGACACGTAGGAACTGTATTAGACGTCGCATTGTCATCTGAAAAGATTATAACTTGTGGGAAAGATACGACACTTCGAATTTATTCACGTCAAAGTTTTGAAGTTTTACATATTATTACTTGTCATACAGGTCCTATTAATTGTCTTTCTCTTTCTCCCACTCAACATGATGATCAATCAAATCCTTACTCTTCCCCTAATCTCAATGTTGATTCCGATGATAACTCTTCCTGTGATCAGAACATCTCGTCAAATCCAACATCCTCTAGGCAAGAACAAATCATCACAGCATCATCTGATGGAACATGGGCAATCATCAACTTATCAACTTATACGATCCTTTATCATCATCGACCCCGTTCACCTCGAGGATTAGCATGTGTAGATTGGAATTCCGATCATGTGGTTTTCGGTGATAATGACGGTCGAATATCGATATATCAACTTGACTCCGATTTGACGAACCATTCAATCGACGTTGATAGGATGAAGAATGGTAGTCAAGACGCAACGGGTATTTCACCAGATATCAGAGTGAAATCAGTACGTACTATCTCTGCGCATAAAGGTTTGGTAAGGACAATCAGTGTGAATGTGGAGAACGGAGTGATTTGTAGTGGAGGATACGATGGGGCTTTGAGAACTTTTGATTTGAATACGGGTGTGGAACATAAGAAAGAATGGATGGATGGGGTGGTTTTCGATTTAAGTTGGTCTGTGAATAGAGTTATTTGGTAAGTGATTTTTCTTCTCGCTCCCAAATACATATCCAAAAAAAGCTTCAGGGCCATACCTTTGACACCCACCTCAAATCCATTTCTCCATCCGCAGTACACATTACGAAAGTCCCCTACTACTATGGATAAGTCATGAGAATCGAATGTTCTGGGTTGGTCTTATCTCTTGAACTATCTCTTTCGACGTTGAAGGATTCAGTTGAAGTCTGTGTTGTGTGGATGTTCGAGACTTGGGTGGTGTCTTGAATACATCAGGGAAAGAAGGTGATAGTTCTGATTCTCATTCCTTTATTTTGCGGAATGTGCATATACGAAAGGTTGTTGATGACAGTGCGATGGAAGATGATATGATTCGAATCATGATACCAGGAAAAAGATTACCTTATCTTGGTTTGTTTGCTTAACCCACTATACCCCCTCAGAACATACTTGCTACTGACTGTATCCTGTACTTTGTGTTAGTCTACTTGTACCTCTTTGTCATTCTCAACGCCGCAGTAGAAGTCATTAGTGTCCTATCCGTCATGCTACTAGTTGGGTACGATGCATTATAGTCACGTGTATGACGTCTGTGGCTTTGATTCTCCCACGGTTGTTTATTTCCCGCCGATTTCGGTGGACCCTGAATTTGAAACCCAAATCGAGATTGACGTCACCTGATGCGTCGTTGGAGCGTTTTCCTTCCATCCATCTTGTTTTCCGTTCTTCTTCCTCTTCCTCTTCCTCTTCTTCTCCTGCCATCAACTAGTTAGCATACACTTGGTCGTCCTATAATAATAACTACTACATATACACAGTCCTAGTGTATCTATTCTAGTCCAAACGACAAGTCAGACAGCTGACAGACGGCTTCGGAAAGAACCAAAAGGTGAGTCGATCTTTCCCTCCAGTCGAGCCAAGCTATCATACCGTTCTTACCCCTCCCGACTTTCTCCTTTCCCGTTGGCACAACTGACGTCAATCCGATATATCCCTTCCCGTACTACGGTCCTTTGTCCACGTTCCG